TTATATCATTTAATATCTGTTTCTCATAAGTATTCTGAATAATAAAGGGATAGGATACTTTTTTTCGCCCCACTTCTGGGGACTGAGCCCAGGGATGCTCTAGCACTGAACTATATCTCCAAACCCCCACCCTTTTTAACTTTTGAGGATTGGCAATATAGCTCAGTGGCACCGCCCCTGTCTGCCAAGTGCAAGATCCTAAATTCAATCCCTGGTACCAATCTGGCTAAGTTGCCCAGGCTGACCTCAAACTTGTGATCCTCCTGCCTCAGACTCTGTGTGCCACTGTACTTGGATGGATATTTCTTTAACGTGGCACAGATATAAATCCTGTGCCTGTTCACATACACTTATATAAACCTCATCAGCCAACAGCATTTTTCATATCTCCATTAAAGTCTGCAGAAAGGCCAGATCCTCACCACCTCTATTACTTAATGTCACTCTGGAAGTGTTAGTGCGATTGGACGATAAAGTAAGGGTTGAAACACTAGGAAGGAAGAAAGAATTATTAACAATTATGTGATTATCTGTCAGGCTTGCTTAGGTCATGAAATGGTTAATGAATATGCTGTTTGATTTCAAGCTACAGTTTAACAGATATAAAACCTGGAGCCCTCAGAAAAACATGCAGCACAAGGTCCTGAGTTCGATCCCAGGTACAAAAAAAAAAAAAGAAAAAGAAAAACATGCAGCAGAGGCGAGCGGCGCTGTCTGCACTCGACACAAAGTGTGCTGTCTCAAAGCAGACAGCACAAGGGACGGGCTGTTATAGGCAAGACCACAGACGTGCAGCCCAAATGCAATACAGCACGACATCTCCCCGCCTTGTCCGCTGCACGGACCCCCACACGTGCCGTGCCAGACCTGCCAGACCCCTCTCCCTCCTACTCCCCCAATAACCCCTTCCCCTCTGCCCTTTGTTACATTATCTACCCAGAAATCCAAAATAACCAAATGAGTAACTGGTAGAACAATACAAGGGCGCCCAACAGTCCTTAAATCTCTCCTGGGCATTTATTTCACACTGCCCATTTCTCTGCTCCTCGGTTGTTTCTCACAGTTGCTCCCAGAGCAGCTGAGACCCAGGAGCCGCAGTCAGCCGGCTCTCGCCACCGGCTGCTGTCCCCACTCCCAGCAGGCTAACCGCGCCTTCTCCCCGAGCTCTCTGCTTGGCCCTCAGCCGCTCTCTCCTTTCTGACTCATTCCACACAGTAGAAGTCAGAAGTTTTGACAATTTTGTACAGTTCTGCACATTTTCCCTGTGGGAAATATGTATGCTTTAGGTTGATTTCCTTGTTTTTTTGGTACTGGAGATCGAACTCAGGTCCTTGCATGCTTGCTAAATCCCCGGCCCTAGGTTGATTTTCTTTCTCTCTCTCTTTTTTTTTTTTTTTTGTCGTACCAGGGGATTGAACTTGGGTCCTTGCACTTGCAAGGCAGGAGGTGGAACCACTGAGCTAAATACCCGGCCCGATTTTCTTTCTCTTTTAAAAAATGGAATCATGCATCTTTTCATTCTATAATGGACATCTTTTCATTTTGTATATGTAGCTCTGGTTTATTATTTTGCAAACTGTAGTTACTTAGCATCTCAGGCATAGTTAAGTGGCTTGCAATTTTTTAAAAAATAAATTTTATTTTATCTCATTCTCTCCCTCCCCTTATGACCCCCTTCACTATGTACAAAAGCTTTGTTTCCATATTTTCTTCTATTTTCACTCTCTGTCTCTCTCTCTCTCTTTTTTTTTTTTTGGTACCAGGGATCAAACTCAGGACGCTGTGCTTGCAAGGCAAGCACAGTACCACTGAGCTAAATCCCCGGCCCTCAGGTGAATTTCTTAAAAGGTGTCTTCCTTTCTCTCTTCCTCCTCCTTTGTTCCCCTTCCCATGTGGACACTTTCTTCCCATTCCCCAACATCTACTATACATTTTAGTCCTTATTTC